AAATTTTTTATTATTTAATAAACTACTTAAAAAAAATAAAAGCAACCCTTCCCCTAAAAAAAAAAAAAAAAAAAAAAGCAACTTTTGAATTTATAAAACTTTTTTTATAGTTTATGACAGTTAAGTCTTACTTTGGAAATATAATCAGATAGTGATTAAAATTAGTAATTTAACCTGTTACAGATTACAAACATGCAAATTTGATCTAAATATTTAATATAATAAATTAATACATAACATATAAGTGGTTTTATATATAAGAGAAAAAATTTTCTTGCAAATATAAAAATAAAATCATAACTCTGATTTGTGCATAATTTGTTTATAAAACAAGGCATAAACACAAGCACTACACAGATTTGTATTATAAAAAATTTAGTATATAGTTATATGTTTTATTTATGTTTATCACTAAATATAATAATTCTATCTCAGATATGCTTTATTTAATATTAAATTAGCTATATTGTATTAAAATATATGATTCTTGCTAATATTCTATATAATCTAAGATGATTTATAGAAATTTTGTCTGTTTGTATAGATCTTTATCATTAACAAATTTTTTTTTATTATTTTTACATTTATCAATAATGCCTTTTGCAATTTTTGGTCTCATCCTATTTATGACTCTCAACTCTAAAAATTTTGCTGAATTAATGCATATTTTATCATAAACTACAAAAGAAAGATTTTTTTTAGTACAAATTAAAAAAAGAAAATACTGAATTTATTAAGCTATAATATATGACTTACTAGCAGAAAATTGGATTTAAGATAAATATATATTCTTGTAAAACTTTTTAAAATTATTTTTTTCAACAATTGTGCATCTTCTTGGTAGTAGGTTTTTGTTAAATATGCTTGAACAATTTAATAATATTAATAATAGCTATTTATTCAACTTAATCCTTCTTGTGATATTCTCAACTTTGTTATATTTTTTATTAATTAAATTATTGTTAATTGTTTGCAAATTCTTTGATTCCAGGTCTTGCCACTTCATTTGTAATACCAACAAAATTGGTTGTTTACAATTGGTTATTAGAAAAGAAAATTCATTAAACTCTGCATCTCTTTTATTTTTATAAATTTTATTATTATTATTATATAAAATTTTACATGATTGATTATTAAAATCTAAAATACTATTATCAGATAAGTATTATTTACTAAGATAATGTACTTGAACTGAATTATAGTTGTGAATATTCACATCCATATCTATATCTATATCTGAATGCAATATGTTCTTTAGCAGTTCTTTTAACTTTATTGTTTTGTATTCAAGTACTGAGAATAGGCATATATGCAGGAACCAAAAATTAATATTAAATTTTTCTTATTGTTATCAATAAAATTGTTCTTTAGAATTAATTATCAAATTCCAAAATTTATAAATTGATTGATCATCAATATTTATTATCAAAAACCAAACAAAAAAATATAAAAGATGTATATAAAACCTTATATCAATAGCTAGCTTAAGTGTCAAAATTCTAAAGAATTTTAATATTTTATATAAAACATATTAATTTTTATCTTTATTTATATAAATATTATCATTTTTGTTAACAGGTCTTTCTAAAATTGCATTTGTAAGTACTAGAAAAATTTGGCTTACAAAAGTTGAAAAATTATACTGTAATTGTATCTTCTTTTCAGTAAGTACATAATGCTTACTAAATTGATATCTTCTAGTCTACTTGTTTTCACTTCATTACAAATTAATTTGTAGAATATTTTTAAAATACATACCTGACCATCTATATCAACAATAATACATTTGAAAAGATTATTTTAATAGACAAAAGACTCATCAAAGCTAAGGTTATATACTATTAATAGCATATGAAATGGATCCAGTAATTGTAATAGCAACTGAAGAGCTTGGTGTATAGATTTAGTAATTACTAACTGAAGTGGTCTTTTAACTATTTCTGCTAATATTGAAACAAAAAAAATTAGTCTTAATTTGCAACTCATTGTGCCAATGCAGGCTACAAGATAGTAAAAAATATCTTAACTTTCATCATATAGATTATTGACTTTATTGATATTAACAATAATTGCAAGTTTTTTTATATTATTTTCTTTATACTTGTTTTTATAAATAGCTTGCAAAACAATACTTAAACTTAAGCATTTTGAACTTTTTTTTTCAATACTTTGTATAAACAAGTTATAAAACATGCTTTTATTGTTATATACAAAGTATGTATATAGAATTCTTAATGCTAATAAAGCTTTTGTACTAATATTTATATCAAATCTTTAACTGCTAATCTATTGCCATATGTAATATTTAAAAAAATAGCTTCTCTTAGTACTAATTTAATATTATTATCATCTGATAATCAAGCCTTTTCATAAATAATATTATAAATCTTTTGCAAAAACTGACTTTTTTCTGTACTAAAACTACAACCAAAGAATGGAATCAGATAAAAATTATGATCTCTTTTTAGATTTTTACTACAATAATTTTTAAATCAGTTTAGAATTCTGTAACTATTAATTATATTACCATTCTAGAGAATATTTATAATGTTTTTATAACTATATAAGATAAATTATGCACCAAATGATTTAACAAACAATGCTAGTTTTGCTTCAGTTAAGCTGTAGTTTTGTATCCATACTAAAATTGAATGCAGATCTTCTAAATTAACTTGAAAATTAGTGATATTATTTTATGAACTAATATGAGGTACAGCTATAACAAATTTAAAGACATGCAATTTATATAACAGGATTAGTTGCAGAATATTAACAGAATAGAAAAGAATAAGACTCATCTACTAAGAAAATGCTAATCTGTTCTTGCAAAGGATAAACACTTATTAGTAATAATAGGCATTTGTATAATGATATAAATATGCTTCTCTGAAAGTTTATTCAAGAAACATTTTGTAATATTTTAAAGTAAGAATAACTTCTCATCACTAAGTTCTTGTTTAACATCAATTTTTTTATAAAGCTTATATTTAAGTATTTTTAGCTTATCATTATTTTTTCTGGTAAAAATATTAACCTTTTATATTCTTAGATTATTAGGTTCAATGTTTTTAAAATTTTTCTTTCTACTTTTTTTGATCATTTTCTTTAAATAAGAAACAGTCTTAATTTCATTATTATAGATATCAAATGTGAAAAAGATATCTATATTTAAAACAAAACAACTTGGCATAATATTAGCATATCTACTAATCAAAAATTAAGATTAAATTACTAATTTTTTAGTAAAATATAAAGTAACTACCTTAGTTGAGTAGACATTATATATCATCAAACTGGTTTGTAGCTTGTTGTTCAAAGCATAGCAAAGAACTTATATTTTCAAGAATATGTATATCATGTAATAGTCACATATACTAGAGGTCATTAGCAAAATTTGATATCTGTTATGCAGATTATTGTTCATTTGTCTAACTATGTAATTAATTAATATAAAATTAAACTATTTAATTAACTGTTATAAATCAATTTTTGTTTCAGACTTACAACAGTTTCTGTTTTTCTAATTATAACAAAAATCAATGCAATAAATAAATATAGTTAAAAAAAATTTTTTTACAAGTTAAGGGATATTTATATAATAAACATAATTTTTAGGCTATACAATTAATAAGAAATTTTTTTAAAAAGGCTTTTTAAATGAATCTAATACAATATAATGTACTTAAAGTGATCATAATTTAGATATCTAATACTAAAAGAATTTAAAATTAATTTTAATAAATTAGTGTACAACATTTATCTGTAACTTATAATACATATTGATATATATTTTTTGCTAAAATTATTTTTAAAAGTAATAATTGTTGCCAAAACAATACAAAGTATGTTTTTATATACTGTTATATAATATAAAAAAAGTAAAAAAAATTTTTAATTATCTTTTAGCACTATGACAATAAGGATAATATTTTGATTAGAATTTATACTAAATAGTAGTCAATTTCACATACATAATTATGTTTACTTTTGTATATATATTTTAGAATTTTATTATATTGTACAGTTATTAGTGCTTATATATAATTGGATTTTTTTCTTGCAAAAGTGATTTGTATGAAGAATTTTCACACATATATGATTTTTTTTATTTTGAATAAAATTATGCATATATAAAAAACTATTATTGAATATGCAATCTGAATTAGGTTTATTAAACCAATGTATTACTAAGCTTGAAGATAAGAATGCTAAGTTTAAAGCTAAAAATGCAAAACTTAAACATAAGAATACAAAATTAAAACTGATTATAGAAGAAAATACTGAGTTTAAAGCCAAAATTATTAAGCTAAAATAAGCTGTTAATAAAATCAAGAGGTAGAACCAAAGTATTAATAATAATTCTTAGCATGAGCTAACATATTCATGCCAAGTTAATACTCTTAAACAGATAGTTAATACAACTATTAGATCTTGGTTGTTTTTAATAAATGCAATTAGATCTAATATAAATTAGGAGTTAAGTATAAGAATATTGTCACTTTATGGCAAAACTTAGTATAAATGCACTAGTAAATGCTGATGTTCTATATTAACAATCACTATAGAATCTAAATCATTAGAAGATATAAAGATCAACAAATTCATAGAATTAGAAGATAAGAAAAAAATTAATAATAAGATAAAACAGAGAAATTAAAAGAAGAAATTTATTAAAGAAAAAACATGTAATGAAATTTGCATGAATAAATTTATAAAAAACTTGATCAGAATTTGAATTTATTAATTATTGCTATCAGCTTCAGTTTTGTTATATTTTATAAATCTGAACAAAATAATAAACTTATTCACCTTTTAAAGAAAAATTTGATTGTCAAACAAAAGTTAATGCAACAGCTTTCTGTGATTATTGGCAAAGCAAGCACAGCTGAAATTAAAAAAGTATTAGTTAAAAAAACAGATTTACAAATTTTTAATCTATTTTTAGTTTTAGTGCAAAGCATAGTTCATATATTTTGAGAGATAATTAGATCAAGTTAAAATGCTATTTCATATTGGCATTATTTTGTAAAAAAATATGACAAAAGAGCAGATAAAGTTTCTGCTAATAAGAAAATTAGTAAGAAAAAAAGCAATGAGTATAGTGTATAATGAAATGAAACAGCTTTTTTATAAAATTACAGATATGAATCTGCATCAAAAATTTCTTAAAGCCAAAAAAAAAACATTTTTTAATGCAATAGAAGTAAAAAAGATTAAACAAGTTTTATATAATACAAATGCAATTTTTAACCTTTCCTATTTCCAAATTTAAAATATTATAAATTATATAATATTAAATAAAATTTATAATTAGAGCCATATAACTGCTAAAACCAAAGTAAGTGAATTGTTTGTATCTTATAACTTTAATTCTCTCAATTTGAAAGCCAATATTAATATATCATTTATTTTAACATAAGCTAATATGTTAGTCTTAAAACCTCTTACTGAGAAAGTCTTACAAAAAATTGAACTAAGTGTTTTGTCTAATAATATATTATTAAAAAATAAAATTTTATATATAGATCATGCAAGTGTATTATCTAATCTAACTTATTATTGTGTTTATTTTTATAATAAAATATTGGATTGATATCCTGATATATATAAAGAATTTAGTAATAAAAAATTTAATTATTATAGAATTCATAAAAAATCATTATATTTAGTATGCAAACAAATTCATAAAGATAAAAAGAATATAAGAGGTAGATATAAAGCTGAATCTTATTTTATTAAATATAAAAGAGCATAAAATTAAAATTAAAGTATAAGTAAATAATTATATAAATTTAGATAAGTAGATAGTAATATTTTTTCTTAATAGCTACATAATTTTGAATTAACTTACATTAATATAAAATAATAATATGTTTTTTGAAACTACTTTTAGCAAGATACTAACTAATAATTATTGCAAATAACATGCTAATATAGTTAATTTATCAAGTTCTTAGACAGATAAAATTTGTTCTAGATTATATAAAATATATATAAAAAAGACTGACTTAATTCTTAAATAAAGTTTAAAACTTTTAAATTTTTACAAATTAGTAAAGTTAGCATGACTAAAAAGAATACCAATAATTATATCTTATAAGATTGTATTATTAAAATTTTTAAGTTTTTAGAAGAAAAAAGCATGATTCATTAAGCAGTACATAAATGTTTTTCTTTCTTATTATATACTAATTCAAATACATAATACTAAAATGTTTTTAAATATACTAATTTAGAAATTAAATGCTCAGTATGCAAAGAAATATATATATATCAAGGTATATGTAGTAATTGAAGCTGTTTTGATAAAAATAATTAATAATTTTTTAATTACTTTTTTGATATCAATCAAAAAAAAGTTATAATAATTATACAAAATATATTAAAAATTCAAGTAAGCGTATTAAACAAAACCTACTATTATTAGCCAAAAGTATATTTATACCAATATGTTATCAAACATGAAATAAATTTTGATAAATTTTTAATTATTACTGAGACTAAAAAAATAAATAAATCATAAAGTGGTTTTCTGCTAACTTAAAAAAAGATATATGGTTCTATTAAGATGAAATAAAGAGAAAAAAAAGATCTTAAAAAATATTATAAATTTTTAACAGATTAGGATAAGTTAGTTGGTAAAAAGTTATTATATTACAGTATACAAAAGAGTAGTTTAAGTACTATATGGCTCAATAGTCTTATAAAAGAATAACAAAAAACTTATACTCAATTTATACAAATTTTTAGTTAGTTTTAACTAAAAAATAAATTACATTTGCTATTATATTATGATTTGATCATGAATTGTAGATAAGTTCATAAAATTTTTGTTTCATAACATATTATGGCTATATCTTTATTTATACATATTTAAATTTTAATTAATTTTCTACCTATTTACACAATCATGTTAAAATAAAAAATGACAAACTTATAAAATTCCTTTTTATTTTATAAAAATGTTGTTAGAACAACAATATACAAATAAAAAATTTATTATAAAAATACAAAGCAACTTTGTTTTAGTTATAAGTTCTAAATACTGAATCTACTTTGTTGTTTTTTAGATAATTAAACCCTTCTTAGATTTAATAATCACTTCTGCGAAGTGAAAAAAGTTAACAATCTTGATGATCTATAAAAGTTCAAGTTCTTGCAATATATGAATATTAATAAGGATGAATTTAATTGTAACAATCCATTACACACTTATTTGTAACAACTCAATTAGTATGATCAATAAAAATAACTAAAACTTTATATAACCCAAACCCTAACTCTAACTACTATTGGCTAATCTAAAGTTGTTACATATAACATGTTGTTACAAATATATTAATTCTATTAATAAAATTACTAATTAAAAACATTATACTCTTTCTTTTTATAGTCTATTTAAGTCTTATTTGCACTTTTTCTTATTACAAAAATATATATATATATATATAAAATAAATTAGCATTAGAACAAAATTGATATAAAGTAATTCTGCATTAGAATGACATGATATAAAATTTAATATAGATTTTTTAATTAATCTTAATCTTGATTCTGTATCTTGTAATCAATAAAAAACTCTAATTAAGATTAATATAATATTATATTATTCTAAGAAATTCTAAATCTGCAACTGATATAAGAATATTTCTTTTATACTTTTAGATTTCTAAAGATTCTATATGCTTTTTTATAGAACATTCTAGATAACCATTCTCAAACTATAAAATGTATAACAGTCAAACTTTTTGAAATTTGAAAATTTAAAATCTTTAAGCATTATATTATATTTGACTATATAATTTCTTAATATAAATTATATATGATAAGCTCTGTTACTATAAATCTAAAAAATACAAAAATTATAAAACAATAAGACTTCATAGGAGTAAAAAGTATAAAACATGTTATAAATAATATAAACATCAACAAAGATTTGATTATAATAATTATAAAAAATATCAAATGCCTAATAATTTTAAAAGTATTGGTAAAAACTTAAACTGTAATGATAACAAAATTATAAATAAATAGTTTATAAAATAAAGAAAACAAGAAAGAAAATAAAGAAGGCTTTTATCAAAATTACTTCATATAAACTATTTAGTAATATTACTTACTTCACTAAAAAAGAGTTTAGTAAAGTATACAAAGCAAGAGGTAAATGTATCATAATATAAATAAAATATTTGTTTTTAAAAGTCTTAATAATTCTGAAAGTATAAGTCTTAATTTTTTAAATGAGATTTGTTACAATTATTATATTATAATTTATAACTGTATTATTAAATTTTTCAAAAATAACTTATTGTATTTCTTTGAAAATATTTCATTCATTTTAGTTACAAAATTATTTTTATTATTTAGAAAGCCTTTATATACTCAAATATTATGCCATCATATAGCATCTTATAACAAAAAATTATTGGCCTTATAAATAAAAGTTTGCAAATTGCCTATTTTTAAGACCTAGTTTAGTTTACATTTAGAATTAAAATTTTTTTGCTAGCCTGGTCTGGTTCACATTTAGGGTTAAAATTTTTTTATCAGCCTAGTTTGGTCTACATATATTAAATTTTTTCTTTAGTCCAGCTTGCAAAATTTCTTTTATAATTTTGCAAAAATTTAGCTTATAATTATAAAATTTTGCAAATTTTTTAGCTTAGCCCAGCCCAGCTTGCAATTATAAAATTTTGCTTCAGGTCCAGTCTGGTTTGCAAAAATTTGTAAACCAGACTAGGCTGTAGAATCCAATGCAGGCCTTTACTTATAGATCTATTGTTAACAAATTTTTTTTAATAAAGTTTTGAATTAATTTGGCATATAATAAAAAAAATTAATGCTAGGTGTTAATCAACATAACAAAGTGCATAACAATTATACTAAACTTGTAAATCCAGCTTAAATATAGTATGTAAAATTATTACTGTACTCCATATAGCCAAATTTTCTCTTAACAGATTATTAACAATATAATCACAAATATAAAAACTATACAAATGTTAGTTGATTTATCATGTTTAATAATTGTAATGCTGAATTTAGTAAATATAAAATTGTTTGTAATTATTATGTTAATTTATGATATCAAATAAATATAATTGTTAATTAATTCATATTAAATAATTATAGTGCTAAATTTAACAAATATGCAATTGTTATAATTATTAATTTATAATTAATTATTATAATGCTAAATTATTTATATTGCTTTATGTTAAATTGTTATATGCTAGATCAATAAAATAATTCACAATCTTTAATTAATAAAGTTAATAAATAAGGTTATTTTTGATATGAAGTTCTATTCTGAAT